CGACGAAACGACGACGACGATGACGACGACGACGCCAACGAAGCGACCACGATGAAACGACGACGAAACGACGACGTCGACGAAACGACGACGACGACGAGGACGACGACGAACCGACGACGAAAACGACGACGGAACGACGACGGCAACGACGACGTCGACGAAACGACGACGACGAGGACAGGGACGACCACGAAACGACGACGACGAGACGGCGACGACGAGTCGACGAACGACGACGACGACGAAGCGACGATGACGAAGCGACGACGAAACGATACGACGACGAAGCGACGACGACGAGATGAAGACGAAACGACGACGACGACGAAACGACGACGACGACGATGACGACGACGTCGACGAAACGACGACGACGAGACGGGGACGGCAACGACGACGTCGACGAAACGACGACGACAACGAGGACGCCGACGACAAAACGACGACGATGAGACGGCGAAAACGGAGCGACGCCGACGGGACGACGACGAAACGACGACGACAAACCGACGAGGGCAAAACGACGACGTCGACGAAACGACGACGACGACGAGGACGATGACGGCCACGAAAGGCCGACGACGAGACGGCGACAACGAATCGACGACGACAAATCGACGACGACAACACGACAACGACGAAACAGCACGACGACGACACGACAACGACGCAATAACGAAATGACGACGAAACAACGACGTGGACGAAACGACGACGAAACGACGACGACGAAATGATGACGACGAGACGGCACCGGCAACGACGACGACGTCGACGAAACAACGACGACAACGTGGACGACGACGACGAATCGACGACGACTAGACGACAACGACAACGACGACGACGAAACGACGACGGCAACGACGACGACGAAACGACGACGACTAAACGATACGACGACGACCACGACACGACGACGCCGAGACGACGACCACGAATCGACGACGACGAATCCACGACGAAACAACAACGACGAAACGATACGACGACGCAACGACGACGAAACGACGGAGTGACGACGAAACCATGGTGAAAAGACTACGACGACGAAACGATGACGATGACGACGACGACGACGACGAAACGACGACGACGACGATACGACGACGGCAACGACGACGTCGACGAAACGACGACGACGATGAGGACGAGGACGAAAGGATGACGACGAGACGGTGACGACGAATCGACAACGACAGAACGACGACGACGAAACGACGACGGCAACGACAACGTCGACGAAACAACGACGACGAGGACGAGGACGACGACCACGAAACGACGACGTCGAGACGGCCATGACGAATCGACGATGACGAAACGACGCCGAAACGACGACGACGACGAAACGATACGACGACGACACGACGACACGACAACGACGAAACGACGTAATGATAACAAAACGACGAAGACGACGAAACGACTACGAAACAACGACGACGACGACGAAACGAAGACGACGACGATGACAACGACGACGACGACGAAACGACGACGAATCGATAAAGACGAGGCGACGACGAATCGACAACAACGAGACGACGACGGCAACGACGACGACGAAACGACGACGAAACGACAACGAGACGGCGCCGACGAATCGACGAGGACGAATCGACATCGACGAAACGATCACGACGAAACGATACGACGACAACACGACGACGACGAAACGACGAAATGACGACGAAACGACCACGACGAAGCGACGACGAGACGACGACGGCGACGAATCGACGACGACGAACCGACGCCGACGAAACGACGACGTCGACGAATCCACGACGACGACGAAACGGGGATGACGACGACGACGAAACGACGACGAGACGACGACGTCGACGAAATGACGACGACGAGGACGACGACCACCACGAAACAACGACGACGAGACGGCGACGACGAATCGACGTCGACGAAACGAGGAAGAAACGACGACGACGAAACGACAACGACGACGGCGAAACGACGAAGACACGACGACGACGAAACGACGTAATGAAGACGAAACGGCGACGACGAGACGACGACGAAACGATGCCGGCGACGAAGACGACGAAACGACGACGACGAGGCCAACGACGACAAACCGACAACGACGACGAGACGACGACGAACCACCGACGACGAGACGGCGTCGACGAATCGACGACGACGAATCGACGACGACGATACGACAACGACGAAACGACACGACGACAACACGACGACGACGAACCGACGAAATGACGACGAATCGACGACGACGAAAAGTTAACGAACGGACGACGACGACGACGAGACGACGACGACGAGATGACGACGACGAAACGACGACGGCAACGACGACGACGAAACGACGACGACGACCAGAACGACGACCACGAAACAACGACGACGACGCGATGGCGACGACGAATCGACGACGACAAAACGACGACGACGACACGACGACGGCAACGACGACGTCGACGAAACGACGACGACGACAATGACGACCACAAAACGACGACGGCGAGACGGCGACGACGAATCGACGACGCCGAAACGACCACGTCGACGAAACGACAACGACGAAACGATACGACGACGCCACGACACAACGACGACCAAACGACCAAATGACAACAAAACGACGACGACGAAACGACTACGAAACGACGACGACGAACCGACGACGGACACGACGACGTCGACGAAACGACGGCGACGACGACGACCACGAAACGACGACTACGAGACGACGGCGACGACGAATCGACGACGACGAAACGACGACGGCAACGACGACAAAACGACGACGACGAGGACAACGAAACAACGACGATGAGACGGCGACGAATCGACGACGAAACGACGACGACGAACCGACAACGACGAAACGATACGACGACGACACGACGACGTCGAAACGACGAAATGACAACGAAACGACGACGAAATGACGACGAAACAAAGACGACGACGAGCACGAAACGACGACGACGATGATGACGACGACGACGGCGACGACGACGACGAGACGACGACGACAAAACGACGACGACGAGACGGCAACGACGAATCGACGACGACGACGAACCAACGACGAAACTACGACGACGAATCGACGACGACGAGGACGACAACGACGAAAATTGGACGCCAACGACGACGTCGACGAAACAACGACGACGAGAACGACGACCACAAAACGACGACGACCACGACGAGACGACGAATCGACGACGACGAACCGACAACGACGACGAATCGACGACGGCCACGACGACGTCGGCGAAACGACGACGACGACGAGGACGACGACGACCACGAAACGATGACGACGAAACGGCAACGACGAATCGACTACGACGAAACGACGACGAGGACGAAGCGACAACGACGAAACGATACGACGACGACACGATGACGCCGACACGACAAAATGAGGACCAACCGACGGCGTCGACAAAACAACGACGAAACGACGACGACGACGAAACGACGACGACGAAGTGACGACGATAAAAAGACGACGACGACGAGACGGCGACGACGAATCGACGACGACGAATCGACGACGACGACAAAACGACGACGACGAAACGATACGACGACACGACGACGACGAAACGACGAAATGATGACGAAACGATACGACGCGACGACGACGAAGCGACGACGACAAATCGACGACGACGAAACGACGTCAACGACAACGTCGCCGATAGGACGACGACGATGACGACAACGACCACGGAACGACGACAACGAGACGACGATGCGGAATCGACGACGACGATACGACGACGACAAAACGACGACGGCAACGACGACGTCGACGAAATGATGACGACGAAACGACGACGATGATCACGAAACGGCGACGATGCGACGACGACGAATCGACGACGACGAAACGATGACGAAACGACGACGAAACGACAAAGACGAAACGATACGACGAGTACACGGCGTCGACGAAACGACGAAATGCCGACCAACCGACGACGCGACGACGACGACGACGGCGAGACGGCGACGACGAAACGATGACGACGAGACGACGAGACGAAACGATACGACGACGACACGGCGACGACGAAACAACTCCGAGGAAACGATACGACGACGGAACGACGACGAAACGACACAATGACGACGAAACGACGACGACGACGAAACGACGACGACAAATCGACGACGTCGAAACGACGACGACGAAACGATGACGACGACGAGGACGACATCGACCACGAAACGACGGCGACGAGACGGCGATGACGAATCGACGTCGACGAAACGACGACGACGAAACGATGACGGCAACGACGACGTGGACGAAATGACGACGACGAGGACGACGACGACCGCGAAACGACGACGACGAGACGGCGACGGCGAATCGACGACGACGAAACGATGACGAAACGACCGCGAAGAAACGACGAAACGACAACGAGTAAACGATATGACGAGGACACGACGACTACGATACGACGACGACGAAACGACGACGAAACGACGACGACGACGACGAAACGACGACGACGACGAGACGGCGATGACGAATCGACGAAGACGAATCGACGGCAACGAAACGACAACGAGGAAACGATACGACGACGACACGGCGACGACGAAACGACGACCACGACGAAACGGCAACGAAACGACGACGATGAAACAACGACAACGACGACGTCGACGACGAGACGACGACGACGACGAAACGACGACGACGAGACGGCGACGACGAATCGACGAAGACGAATCGATGACAGCGAAACGACGACGGGAACGACGACGACGGGACGGGGACGACGAATCGACGACGCCGAAACGACGACGACGAAACGCCGACGACGACGACACGACGACGACGAAACGACGGAACGGCGACGAAACGACGACGACGACGACGAAACGACGGCGCCTTGGCCGTCCGCGGCCGCCGCGGCGGCGGCGCCCGGCCCCGGCGTGCCCGGGCCCGCGGGCCCCTCGCGGCCGCCCCCCCGCGCGCGGGCGGCCGCCCTCTCGGCCCCGCCCTCCGCCACGGGCGCCAGGGGCTTCGTCCGCGGCCTCGCCTGCGGGCCGCCCCGCGCGGGCGCCGCGTCGTGCAGGTGCGGCTCCTCGGTGCACGGGGGGAGGGGCAGGGAGCAGTGGGGAGGGCAGGGAGGGCAGGGAGCAGTGGGGAGGGGCAGTTGGGAGGTGCAGTGGGGAGGGCAGGGAGCAGTGGGCAGGGCAGGGAGGGCAGGGAGGGCAGGGAGCAGTGGGCAGGGCAGGTGCAGTGGGGAGGGCAGGGAGCCCTGGGCATCGAACGGGGGGAGTCGGACCGCCTCGGCGATGCGGAGCGCAGGGCTGAGCCTGGGCGGTGCCTTTCGTCTTCGGTCCGTTTGTCGCTCTTGCTCGTGCTGCCTTCGCTTCGCCTTGGAATGCGAAGCAACACGAAGCACAAAAGGGCCTACGAGATGGCCAAAACACCGTTTAGGTCCAGGCCTGTCGGATCCCATCGGAGCGTGCATCCACTGTGGCTGCACTGGCATGGGATCGGCATCGAATCGGATCGGGCCGCGTCGGATCGATGGAAAACCGGGTCGAATCGGATCGGACTGGCCGAGATCGCCATCGAATCGGACCGATCGTATCAACATGGACCCTGGCAGGGGGGGCAATCCCACCCTGAGAGCTCCAATATCGAGATCATGTCGAAAAACTAACCAACACAGCACTGCATCTGCAGTGCGGAGCTTGTTCGACTGCAACTGCTGCTAGTGCATGGATCTCGGCGGCCTCGTGGTTGCCAGCCGATACTTTTTGCCGCGTGTGCAACGACAATTCTTCCAGAACCCCTTCTCCCCCCTTGGGGGAAACGCTTTTCCCTCCCCCTCCCAGGGGCTGGACGTCCGCCTGCACCCTCCCCGCCGCCGCGAGGTGTGGTGTCAGCGTGGCCGTGTTGGCCCCAAATGGTTCCAAGGCGCCTCCGGCTAGTCCAAGACAGCCTCGATAATGGCGCGCCGAAGTTGGCTCCAAGTGGGATCCAGCATGCTTTCCAACGGGTCCGCAGACCGCCACAAGACGGCGCGATGTGGCCACGGAGCCTCCCAACGATATCCTCGAGAAGCTTGAATCCTTCAAGTAAGCAAGGCCCGGTCGAATCGAATAGATCCGCGAGCGGACGTGGGCAGAAAACTATGACTTGAAGTGGGCGAAGGCAAATTGTAATGTTGAGTTGGGTTCAGAAAGCTTGCGCGTAACCCTAAGCCAGCGCACGAGATTTCCTCCAATCTCGACAGGCGACATACTAGGGCTCACTATACCGTGACAGCGAATACCTTTAGATGTGACCGTCCCAACGACATGCTGGACGACCTCGCCCACGGCGTGCTCCGGCATTCAAGGCAGGCGGGCTCCAACTGGATATTCGAGGAACCAAACGCTCTGGTTTCTGTCCAAGCTGACCAGCGGCATTGTATTGTAGGTGGGCCAACCACTCCCGCCAGCTCTGAACCAAGTAAGAACTCAGGGCCCTGTCGGCGCGGTCGTTCATTCTACGCATCGTGATGTTCCAATTTTCGTCGTCAAGCCGCACCAGGCCCACAATCAAGCGCAGCATGCGCCATTGCAGAATGCCCAGGTGCTCCTGCTTTTTTTCCTGGGCAGTCCGCTGCAGCACAGACGAGGCCGGGGAAGCGACGATCACCGAGAGAGTGTCCTCACAGGACCAGGGCGCATCGTCAGGTTGAGCGTTGGCGAGCCGCACAGCACCGTCGGAGTGAAGACCGAGCCGAAGAGCTTGAGGCGGCGATGGATTGGCATCTGCTTGTCTGTAAGAATGCCCCGCCATTCATGGAACTTGCTCCATGCGGCCTGCGACAGGTACGACAACTCAACGTCACCACTCTGCCGCAAAGACCCTGGCACTTTTTGCCCAAAATGTACGTGAATGTCGCTGCAAAACACAATTTGGACAATGCCACTGCCGATCTCAACATACGTCAGCCCAATAAGGTCCTCCGTCGTCAACACTTTGGTCTTCGACGTATTGAGATGCAGGCCCTCACGATGGAGTTCCAAGCACAGGGGCTTCATGATAAATCGCGCAGGTCGCTGCAAGATGTAGGAGAGTCGGCGAATCGTGAGCCTCTCGCGAGCACAAGAAATTTATTTCGTGATTTTGCTTTCTCGCTTTTTCGCAACCGATCGATTTCGGAGGCCTTAGATGGCCCAAGGCCCCAAGAGGACCTCCAGAGGGCTCCGAGCTAGAGGCGACTTTTCAAGCTGGGAGCGCGATTGGGGGACCCCTTCCCCCCCCTTTTGATCTATGGTATCCAAGAAGGCACGAGCGGCCACCAAGAGGACCCCAAGAGGACGCCAAATGCTCCCAGAGGGCCTCAGAGAGCTCCAAGATGACTCCAAGAGATTCCCAGAGGCCTCTGGTTCGCCATTGTTGCCCTCCCTGTGCCACTGCGTACGTCCCTGCCGTTCTTCTCCAAACATCTCTCCTGGGCATCGTCTCTGGATGGGAAGAGGGCTAGCGTCCACAGCCACACTACGGCCGAACGCTGGATCGGCATTTTTCGTTTATCCACCTGCCGCCCTAGGCGGCTACACCCTGTGTATCCAGCTTTATGGCAATACAACCAATCAGCAGCAGTAGTTAGTGAAGGTGGTTCCTGGCAGCAACAGTTTTCATAAGCAGAGGTCCATGGTAAGCACTAGGCGTACCAAGCGACGCCTGATACACGAGTAACGAGACACTTGGTTCTGCCAGGGCCCTCGAATCTGCATGGGCCAAGTCTTCACAAAGACGGACATGCAATTCGTTTCAACACACTACGCTGAATCTTCTGTTTGTTTCCCCGCCGGCGTATCATGTAACCCTCGGTGCAGCACCGCTTCCCGAAGAGACTTACAGAGAAAGGCACACGCTTAAGCACTTCCTGCTTGACCTGTTGGCGAACTAATCCAGCATTTCATAATCGAGTTGTTCTCCATGCGACATCCATGCGCTCCAACATGTCGGCGGCTCCGAAACCCTGGATTCCCTTGCGTTGGCAATTCTCGAAGGTCGGCCTTTTGTGCCGCTGGCTTCCCCCCGGGCTTCTGCCGGCAAACCTACCCTCGTTTTGTTACTGCCAACTTCCGCGGAGCTTCCGCCGGCGGGCGATAAGCCAATTTCTCCATTCCTCCACGGCGGAGCCCAGTGTGGAACGCCCCGTTTGCATCGAAAGGTGCATCCTCTTCAGAACTGCTCGTCCCCGTCGGGTAGCCGCCGCCAAAGGTGGACGTCAGCGCCGTTAAGGGCGTCACCTGGGCGGCGGAAAGAGAAGGCTCTTTCGCGAGAGGCCATGCCGTCTTTTTTGTCGGTGGTTTGCGCAGGCTGGTAACGCGGCACGCAACGTGGAACACTGGACGCTTACGCGTAACCTCGAGCGGGCAGCTTGCGTGGGAACATCCTCGCAGCCGACTCTGCATTCCAGGCCAAGCGCGCACACATATCCTTTTCAGAATCAGCGTTTGACGCCTTTCCGCCCACAGTTTTCTATGGAAAACAAAGCCAACAGCACAACTTAAGGAGGAGACCAAGCGGGCGGAAGGCAATCTCCCAGGAAACGTCCCCCTCGCTGGCGTGAGCTACGAACGTATCGAACTAGGATCTGCGCGCCGTGCTCGCTCCACGAGCGCACGCCTCTCTGCACATGCAATCGACCCCGCAGGGCAGAGCCCCTCCGCCAAAGTGCCAGACGCAGCCACGCTCGAGCTGCTCTCGCAAATATGAAGGGGCCCCAGGACACACAAATAAATACACACAAATAAAAATATTCCCCATATTTTCTCATATTTTCTGGGTTTCTGTCTTCCCCCCCAAATTCCCATATTTTTCCATATTTTCTGGGGAATCGAGGATTAATTGTGTCTGTGTGTTTCTTTTCCTCCTGAAAATATTGCCCCACTCATCTTTCCCTGCGGCGCTCGCTGGCTGACGTGCGCCAGCCAGCGCGGCGCACCCTGGCACACACACCCAGCTCTCTCTCCCTGGGGTCGGCCAGCCCGCCCAGGCTGTGTGGCAACGGTGCTTATGCGGCGGCCCGAGAGGGAGAGGGGCGGTGACTCGCGGGCCCCCAGGGCCCCAGATCGCGTGCTGCTTCAAAACTCACGGTGCAACGGTGTTCATGCGGCGGCCCGAGAGGGCGAGGGGTGGTCACCCGCGGGCCCCCCGGGCCCCCACATCGCGTGCTGCTCCAGAACTCACGGCCCGGGGGCTCCCGAGCCCGCCTTCCCGTAGTACCATTTCCCAGGCCGCAGCCCTTCGTGGGGGGGCCCGGGGGCTCGACGCCGGGTCTGGCCGTCGCTCGGACGTCCCTTCCCTGTGTGCTTTTTGTCGGTCTCGTGCGCGGTTTGTTTTCGCCAAAGGATCAAGGATGCTCCTCGATGGTCCTTGCCAAAGGAAAAATGCACACGTCCGAGCGATGCGAAGGGGTAGGCGGCGCCGGCCGTGGCTTTCCACGGAGCACAAACATGCGCCTGCGGAGGTCCACGCGGACTTCTCAGATCGACGCTGGATGCCCCTGCCTGGCGCGCGGCACGCCCGAGGGGCGGCGCCCGAGGCGCCGCCAAGAGGGCCCCAGCGCCGATCCCAGAGGTCCTCTCGGAGCTCCAGCGATGTCTGCTCGTGGCGTCCTCCTTCCTTCGCGGGCAGGAGGCCAACAAAGACGGCTCGCGGGCCGCGTGACCGCCACGCCGCGGGTCAGCTCCGTGTCCTGGGAGAACACCTCCTGGCGCGGGGTGTCCCATAGGGCGAAGGCCCACGGCAGAGGGCGTGGTCGGCGCCGGTGGTCTCCGGCTGGAGGCCCACGGCGCTCGAGGGCGACTCCTGGAGACCTCCTGAGGCCTCCAGAGCCTCAGTGGGGGGAAGAAGTGTGCACTTTTCGGGCCCCAGAGGCTCCCTTTTGGGCCCTGAAGGGCCTCTTTAGGGGCCCCGAGAGGGCCCCTTTCTGCAGCCCTCGCTGCCCCCCAATTTGACGTTCCCCCATTGCGCGGCGTCCAACTCCGAAGGCTTCTGGAGGCCTTCCGAAGCCCCAAAACAGCAGAACTGTAATACAGCACGGGGATTCTCACTGCAGACGTAGCGACCTTGCGCGCGGTGGCTTTTAGCGGGCCGCCAGCGCGGAAAGCTTACGCGCGACTGTCAGCGCAGTCTCCCCCGTTTTCTGCCTTCACTTATGTATGCATGTCTTTGCAACACGTTTTTTCTATGAATGGCGAGTCTGAGTGTGAGCGAGATTGGGTATGGCCACCTGAATGCAACTGGGTACGATTGTATAGCGGTCTGGGCATGATTGGGTCTACCCTGGCGGCTTCCCCTTGAGATGCCCAAGTGACTCAAGTGCCGTGCCTGCCACATCGCGGTGGTCATTGGGCTCTCACATGAAAAAGGGTCGCGGGCGCCCGAACCAATATCTCGCCTGAGACCTCCCCGCAGCCTGTGCGCGAACGGGGTCGAGTAACACCCGCTGGCGGCTCCCCGTGGGGATGCCCACGTGCCACGACAGCTGCGTCGTGGTGGTCGCAGGGCCCTCAGAGAAGAAAATCGGGGGCGCCGATGCCATCGTTTCGCCTGGGACGTCCCAACACTCTGGGCGCGAACGGGCCCGTGGAACACCCCTGGTCGACCCCCCCCCTGGGGCGGCTCGAGTGCCACTTCTGGCACGCGGCCGTTACTGTAGGCCTCTGCAGCGAAACGTGTGCAGAGCCGCGCACGGGAGCTCTGCTCGGGACAGCCCCGCAATCGGGCCGCGCACGGGCCCGCGGAACCTCCCCGGTCGGCTACCCCCGGGGTGGCCCTACTGCACCGCGGCGGTCGTTGGGCTCTCGACAGAGACGCGTCAAGAGCCGCGAACGGGCGTTCGGCGCAGAAAGTTCCCACAAGCTGGCCGCGAACGGGCCCGGGAAGCACTTCTGGTCGGCTCCCCCTTGTATGACAAAAGTGCCATCGCGTTTCGCTCGAGACATGTGCGCAATATGAGGCGAACGTGCCCGTGAAATACCCCTGGCCGAACTCCCCCTCCATGGCTCATGCGCCATGGGTATGAACGGAACTTACATTGAGTGGATCTCAAGAAGGGTGTGTATGAGCATGAATGAATTTGAGGGTGAGTGGTTCTGAATGGTCTGAGCATAAGCTTGGGTATGAGTAGGTCTGAGTGTGATTAAGTCAGAGCATGAATGTGTCTAAGTACGGGTGGACATGCGTTTGAATGGGTTTGAGTACGAATGATTCTGAATCTAAATGAATGTGAATCTGACTGAATCTGAGTCTGGGTCCGAGCGTGACTGGCTCTGGGGAGGCAGGGCGGAGGCGGGAGAAGTGAGGCGGAGGGGCCTCGCTAATAGAACCCCATACTTCGGACATAGGGGGAACCCAACAACCTGCCAGGAATCCAGACCACCAACATCGTGTCTTACCAACATCGTGTCTTTGTCACAACGTGCCCCCCTGGAGATCTAGACGCCTTTCCTAGGGCGGGCTTTTCATTCCGAATCGTGTAGACGGTCCAGGGGCGCCGCGATGGCAGCTGGGGCCGAAAATTGCTAAACACTCGTCGGCGTGCTTGATTCACGACGCGAGGAAGTATGGGAAAGGACACAGAGCAGGGCCTTCGCGCATTCTTTCTCCCGCCTGGGATGCGCGAGTCCCGCCCGAACGTGGCCCGCATCCCCGCCGAGTGCCGCCCGAATCCCGCTGCCTGGCCCTCCTTTGCGGCCTGCGTGCCCGGCCCTGCTGCTGGCCACCGCGCTCACGTCCTGGCAAACTGAGCCTGCCAAGCAGGGACGAGCAAGAGCGGGAGCGGGCCCCCGGAAGCCTCGTCATCGTCGTCGTGGTCGGCATCGTCATCATCACCATCGCCCACCATCCCCATCAGAATCACCACCACCACCACCACTACCATCATCATCATCATCATCATCATCATCATCATCATCATCATCATCATCATCATCATCATCATCATCATCATCATCATCATCATCATCATCATCATCATCATCATCATCATCATCATCATCATCATCATCATCATCATCATCATCATCATCATCATCATCAGCAGCAGCAGCAGCATCAACAGCAGCATCAGCATCATCAGCAGCAGCATAATCGTCATCAACATAATCACAGGGTCGTGCCGGAGGCCACCCTCCGCCTCCCGGCGGCCTCCCCCAGCGGCCTCGCGAGGCAGAGCTGCATCCCCCGAGTGGGTGCGGCCGCAGGGCAGGGGGCGAGGGCACGGCGCTTGCCCTCCGCCTCCCGGCGGCCTCCCCCAGCGGCCTCGCGAGGCAGGGCTGCAGCCCCTAGGTGGGTATACGTCAGCAGAGCAGGGGACGAGGGCACGGCGCTCGCCCTCCGCCTCCCGGCGGCCCCCCCCCCGCGGCCTCGCGAGGCAGGGCTGCAGCCCCGGGTGGGTACGGCCGCAGGGCAGGGGGCGAGGGCACGGCGCTTGCCCTCCGCCTCCCGGCGGCCTCCCCCAGCGGCCTCGCGAGGCAGAGCTGCAGCCTTGGGTGGGTGCGGCAGCAGGGCAGGGGACGAGGGCACGGCGCCCGGAGGTTCCCAGTGCTGTCTCTGCTGGCTCGCCTGAGCCTCTGCGAGGTGGCACGGATGCGGCAGCCGCGCGACTTGGGTTCGCGCGGGCTGCCTGCGGGTGGCGCGGAAAGAGGGGAGGGGGGGGCGGAAGAGGGGGAAAGGGAAGGGAATTCCCAGATCGCCTTCATGGAGGCGTAGGGCGTAGAGGCGGTATTCCAGTGTCTGCGAAGGCCTTCTTCTCCCCCTCCCTTCTTCTGCAGTGGCGGCGCTCCCTCGATGTGCCCTTCACCTTTAAGGCTCGCCTGGAGGCCGTTTGGTGCCCGCTAGTCTGCTTCGCCGCGCGGCGGCGTTGGCTGTCGGCTCTGGCCCTAGTGCGTGCGAGGAACGACGCGTGGCACATTCCGAATCCAACCCTGTTTAATGCTGCGGGGGCTAAGGTTCTGTGGGGGTCGATCGAGCTTCAGGGCTTAAGTGTGTGTGTGTGTGGGTGGATGGACCCGCGAAACGGCACCCCATTAGAGAGCTTTCGAGGGCTCCGTATTCTTGGATCTTCTTGGGGGGCGGGCGTTGATGACGAATACTGCTAGGGCCCAATGAACCGTCCTCGATGCCCTCCCTCAAAATCTCCCAGCTGCCGAACATCTGGCGATGGCTATCCTCCCTGCAACCGAGCATCTAGAGAGGCAGCGGAACGGACACGAACTCGCAGCAGGCGGGTGGCGACAGCGGGGCGCGGGGGGGGGAGGATCCTTTTCTCTTTGTATGTAATCTGAGCCAGCGCGGACTCCAAAGAGTGTGTTTTTAGTGATCTATGCTTTCTAATATATGTGGAAGAGCCTGTGTTGTGCAATCCATGTCGTGCAATATAGCTTGTGCATCTTCTCATGTACAACCTATGTTGTGCAGCAACAGTGGTGCGACCTATGAGGTACAAATGCAATTGTCGAGCAATCTATATAGTGCATGCAGTCAATGTTTTGCCATCTAAATGGTGCAATACATGGTGTGCGGTCTATGTTGTGCACTCTTTGTGGTGCGACCTAGGTGGTGCAACATATGTGTTGCAATCCATGTCGTGCAAACTATGTGAAGCAATCTATGTGGTGCAGTCTGGATTGTGAAATCTATGTTGTGCAACCTATTTGGTGCGATCAGTGTGGTGCAATCTAGGTTGTGCATTCTAGGGTGTGCAATAGATGTTCCGCATTCTATGTGGTTCAGTCCATGTGGTGCGTGCAATCTACGTGTTGCCATCTATACTGTGCAATATATGGTGTGCGATCTATGTTGTGCCCTCGATGTGGTGCGACCTATGTGGTGCAATACATGCTGTGCAATCCATGCGGGAAGTTCTAGGTGGTGAACTCTGGGTTGTGTAATATTTGTTGTGCAACATATGTGGTGCCATCTATGATTAGGTACAACTCAAGCTGTACAGCATATGTGGAGTAGTCTATGTGGTCCAATCTATGTGGTGCAATCCAGGTTGTGCGATCTACGGTGCAATCTATCTTGCGCAACATGTGTGGTGCAACCGATGTGGTGCAGTCTATGCGGTGCTACGTGGCGCAGTCTTTGTGGTCCAATCTAGGTCGTGCAACATCTGTTGTGCAATCTATGTGGGGCGGTGCTGGGGCGGCGACGGCGGCAACAAGCGCGGCGACCGAAAGACAGGCCCAGACGTCGGGCGGCGACGAGGCGGCGACTGGGCGGCGACGGCGGCAACAGGCGCGGCGACCGACAGACGGGCGCAGACCGCGGGCGGCGACGAGGCGGCGACTGGGCGGCGACGGCGGCACCGTAGCCGCCAGACCGACAGACACGCCCACTTCTTGAATAAGAAATGGAAGCCCCTGAATGCGAACACTGTTTGGGGAACATGCTTTCTTTCCTCGTCTCAACCGTGACAACATTTCGCCGGAGCCGACACGGCGACACGGGCCAGGCAGGTTCGGGCTAGTTTACCTGTCGTCTGCAGGCCAGTCCGATCCCTCTGAAGCCTCCCTCCGCTGGCGCGTGCGGCGGCGAGGAGGAAGAGGAGGAGGAGGAAGAAACTGTTCTTCTATAAGATAGCGGAAGTCGTGGCGTACCGTGCGAGACGGTGGAAGGGCAGCGGCACGGACCGCGTCGCCACGCCAGTCGCGGCCAACGTTCTATGGTGGTGTGGCAGCTCTGGTGGCGCCGATGATGAACGTAACGCCAGGAGGAGGAGGCGGAGGAGGAGGAGGAGGAGGAGGAGGAGGAGGAGGAGGAGGAGGAGGAGGAGGAGGAGGACAAAGAGGGGAGATTGAGGCGGGCGGGCGGCGGGGGGGCCGCGCGCGGGCGGAGGAGGAGGAGGAGGAGGAGGAGAGGAGGAGGAGGAGGAGGAGGAGGAGGAGGAGGAGGAGGTGGAGGTGGAGGTGGAGGAGGTGGAGGAACAGGAGCAGGAGGAGGGGCGGAGGTGGAGGAGAGGCCAGTCCTGCTCGCTGCCCGCCTCCAGCCGCGGGTGCCCCGCCGCGCCGCCGCCCGCGGAGGGCCGCCCGCGCCAGCAGGAGCGCAGGGAGCCCATCTTGTCACCGACGGGCCTCGGGTGTCACCCAAAGTCGGCAGCCCAGCCATCCGAGGGGCCAGCGGCCCCCTGAGAGCGCCAAGCTTGCCCAAGAGGGCCGCCCCAAGAAGGCTAGCCCAAGAGGGCCGCCCCACCGTATCATCATATCATCGGCCTGCCAGTCGAAGGCTCGGCTCCTATGCCTCGTGGGTCCTCTGCCTCAACGAGTGTGACATTGATTCCAGCGGACAGAACTGATGCACGCCCAAAATATTGGATCCATGCGACCGACTACTTGTATCCACGTGACCCTCGCACATAAGTAATGGAACCTACTGGGACCAATGCTTTCCCACGTAAGAGAATAGACTTCCTCGCTCAAGACGGCCCCAAAGAATCCTTCGGTGGTCCATGGTGGCCCAAAGACGGCCCCAAGACGGCCACAGGAGGCATCCCGGACGGCCAAGAAGGCCCCAAGACGGCCACTTCGGGGGGCCAGCGCAACAACCATAGGACGCCCAGCAGCCGGCCAACACCAGCAGGACGAGCGGTCGAGGGTATGTCGCCAGGTAATTTTCGAATGATTGTGTGCATGTGTATGTTTGTTTGTATGTACATATGTAAGTATGTATGCATGTATGTGTGCATGTCTCGATGTGTGTATATACAGATATAAAGAGAAACAACAACACGACTGGCTCATCGTGTTCGTCGTCGCCGCCGTGGAGTATCATCTGGGACAGATGATACGTTTTTGTTTTGAGGGAGCATTTTCAAGTGCCTTCGTCGCAATTGCGGTCAGAGCGTGCCCCATGGGAGTTCCTGGGGTCGAATGCTTGTCGTGTGTCGCCGTCGTCGAAGATCACCATGCACAGCTTTTCTGGGCCTCATGGGGCGTCCTCTTCACCGCGACTAGATCAGTCTGGAAATCCTGGTCATGATCCGCTGCGGGGCGAGTCTGGGGGTCGATGTGCAAGTCCCCCGCCAGTCCCGCATTCATGGTTGTTTACGGTCTGAAACATTCCAAACCAGCAATTCATTATTTCTTACTTGACTGTCGGCACAGTCGAACGAGGTCTCGAATCGTGCGTGGCACCCAGGATCGAACAAGTAAGAAACACATCAACCCAAGGCAGCAGCGTGGAATGGGGATTCCCCGCTGCAATGTTCTGGCGGAGAACTGCCAACAACGCCCCGGTTACAGCGGTGACGAGGACATTATAGTAATGGCGATTGAGGAAATGACGGCGGTGGTGCCGATGCCGATGATGGCGGCAACTTCGTCGTGGGCTGCGAACGAATCTGACGATGATACGGTGACTGTGATAGTGGTGCTGACTGATATAATTGGACGCTGGTCTGGTCTCAAACAGTCCCAAGCAAAGGCACAGACGGTCTCGTCTCTGGAGGGTTGCAAGACACCTGGAGGGGTCTCCAGCATGGCCCCAATAAGATATGGCGCAAGAGCGCTTCAAGGCGTACAAAGAGGTCTCCAATACAGGCTCCTAGATATCACAACGGACCCCAAAACGCTTCAAAACGGCCCGAATAATTGCCCTCAGAGAAGAGGCCTAACGCGCAAAGACACGGCGACCTTACGCGGTCGTTCAAACAGGCCGCTCATGCGGCAGATCACGTTGACAAGAGGGCGCTTACGCGCAACCCTCCGGGGACAGCTCATGCGCGAGTGTCTACACGATGGCCCCCCTGGGAATCCCACCAGCTCTCTGGGCGTAGGCGGTCAAGTGACCAGCCCCCTTACCCACTTCGGGGGTTGGCTCATCGCGCGCATCCCCCTCCCAAACCTCCTCGGTTGCGGTTTCGGGCGCGATTGCATGTGCGGTTTTGGCGGCTGCGGGTGCGGTTTGGGGTTGCCCGCTGCCCAACATGCGTTGTCCGCGGTGCGAGCGCGGGCGCGGTTGCGTGCCCTCGCGGCCTGACATTTGTTGCCCAATTGCGGGTGCCAAAAGGTGTGCCCCGAACTGTCCGTTGACGTCAATCAGCCAAATTGTCAGTCCGTCACACCCGGCGAGCATGGAATTTCTCCCCATTTCGCCGGAAATCAAACATATCCGCACATCAGACCAGAGGCACGCAAGACATGAAGCTGGCCGGCAGTTCTCCTCAGGCAGGGGGCAGGATCACACAGATGGACTTCTCCAGGGCTAAGGCAATCGAATGGACGAAGAACCAGGACATCATTATTTGCATTTCGGCCACTGGGAGGCCCTGCCTGGCTCTTCTTGGTTGGGCCCCCTGGGCTCTTGGGGTGACCGCCCAGCCGTGGGCCTGGCGTGCTGGCGAGCCTCCTGGACGGCGCTGCAGAGCGCCTCTCTCGCCCTGAGGTGCACGGCCGCCATCTGCTGGGCGATGTGCTCCAGGCAAGCGTCGGTGGTCGCCCGGTGCTCGGCGATCTTCCGCTGCTCCGCCTTCTCCACCTCCTCCAGCTCCTCCGCGGTGGCGGGCTGCTGTCCTCTGGGTCACCCAACTTCGCGCCCCGCGCCCCGCGATGTGCGGCTATCTTCGCGCCTTCGCGAGGCCACCCTTGAGAAGGGCAGCTGCCCAGCCCAGGCCACGACGCGCAACGCGCGATGATCTTCGCGCCCCGCGCGGGTGACCCAGGTCCTCTGCTCAGCCAGCCGAGCAGCCGCCAGGTCCCCCGCCGAGCTGCCGCACCGAGCTCGGCCTCCCTCTCCGCGGCGGCCGCCGACACGTCCGCGAGGGACTGCCTCAAGCGAGCCACCTCGGCGAGGCGCTGGGATCGCTCGTAGTCCACCTGTGGTGCGCGCACCCACAGAGCTCGAAGGCGCAGGCGCATATATATATATATATAGAGAGAGAGAGAGAGAGAGAGAGAGAAAGAGAGAGAGAGATAGAGAGAGAGAGATATAGAAAACGAATGCTGATACCAGCGCAGACGCACTCTCACGCAAAGGGCGCGCATCTGTGCGTGCGCATGCGGCGACCAACCAGTGTGGATGCTGCCTGGACCACTCCGCCCTTTCTTCTCTGACTTACGGCTCGATTCGATCCCTCCGCTTCGTGGAGGTTTGGGCAGGGGGGGGGGTAACCAGCTGGGTGGAGGCCTAGGCTTCCAAATGACAAAAGCCTGGGCCCTGTGCGGGGTCCCAAGCGTGGCGCTGGTTCCGGGTTTGCGCAGTGACTGGCGCAGCAACTAGCGCTTGCGGCGGGATATGGACCTACTCTGAAGTTTGCGAATTGAACGCGGATCCATCACCAGTGTCTCCGTGGCGCGCTCGGAAGCATGTGGCTCCAGTGATGCGGAATGGCGTGAGGGTGGCCATAGACACCCGCCCATGTTTCGCAAAGCTAGGGTCCAAGTCCTAATGCGGATGTTTCACGTTTCCGAAACAGTTGAAGCACATGCACGACACATGCTGTCTTACTCTAGTCGCACACTCGGCTTCAGTGCTCTTTCCTCTTTCTCCTCCCCATGTTACAGAACAGGGACAGTATGTATGTATGTATGTATGTATGTATGTATGTATGTATGTATGTATGTATAAATGTATAAAAGGAAAGAGAGAGAGGCATATAGAGAAAGAGAAAGAGAGAGAGAGAGAGAGAGAGAGAGAATGAGAGAAAGACACACACAAACACACACACACATATATATATATATATATATATATATATATGCACATCTAAATGTAGATAATGGTACATGCATCGACACACAGTAGAACCACGCGCGCGCTTCGCGCGCCTAGGTTCTAGCGTCCCCCAGCCCTCGACAAACATACAATCGAGGACGCCGGCGGCGCATCACCGGCCGCTCCCTGGGAGTTTGCCGAAGTGGTGCGCAGCATCGAAAGTCGTGACGCGGCGCGAGTGCCACCGTGCTTGGGTTTTGGGTCGGAGTCCTCATGGACGCTTCGTGGGGTCTTTCGAGAGGGCTCTCGGGGGCCTCTGCGGGGGAGTTTCGGGGCCTCTTGGGGGCCTCCTGGGGGCTTCTTGGGAGCCTTTTGGGGCCCTCTTGGTGCCTCTTGGGGCTCTCTTGGGGCCTCTTGGGGGTCTCCTGGGGGCTTCTTCGAGCCTCCTGGGGGCCTCTTGGGACCGAAAGCTCGAAATGTTCATGCGGGTTCCCCTTCTGGGCGCCCTCTTAGGGCCGTCCTGGGGCCCCTCTTGGGCCGTCTCGGGGGCCTCTTGGGCCGTCTTGGAGCCCTCTTGGGCTGTCTTGGAGCCCTCTTGGGGGTTTGTTGGGCTGTCTTGGCGCGATCTCGGGCGCCTCTTGGGCCGTCTTGGAGCGTCGGTAAGCCGAAATGGCGAGAACGCGAAAATCCTTCAAAAACGATTGAAAAATCAATGACTTTTGTCTCTTGGGGCTCTCTTGGGGGTGCTCTTGGAGGCCTCTTGGGGCGTCTCGGAGGCGTCTTGGGCCGTCTGGAGGCCATCTTGGGCGTCTTGGAACGATCTGGGACCGTCTGGAGGCTCTCTTGGACCGTCTAGGGGCTCTCTTGCGCCGTCTTGGGGCGCTCTTGGGTCGTCCCCGGGCTGTTCCGGACCTTGAAGGAGGGGGGGTGCCGGCGGCAGAGCGGGGCCCCCTCGGAGGGACTTCCAGGGAGGTTTTTGACCAAGCACTGGCGAATGGGGTTAAAGACTGTGCCAAACACTCTGTCAGAGAGGTCTCGCACGGCCCAACCCGCAGGGCGGAAGCGGCTGGACTGTGTACACGTCCCCTGCTGCCGTTCCCCCGCCCTTCGGAGCCCCTGGGGGGCCTGTTCGGGGTCTTGGGCCCGATTGGGGCGCCTCTTGGGATCTCTTGGGAGCCTCTTTGGGAGTGTGTTGGAGCTGCGCGAAAGCTCGTCGGGACGGACAACTTGATGCTTCGGTTTCCGTTTCCCCTCTGGGTACCCTCTGGGGGCGTTCTTGAGGTCGTCTTGTGCCATCTGGGAAGCCTCTTGGGCTGTGTTTCGGGGGTCTCCTCGCGCCCTCCCGGCGCCTTCTTTGGGGCCTCTGAGGCCTTGTTGGGGCGAGCTTTGGGACATTAGAGACTGTTGTGGAGAGTCGGGGTGAGCTTCTGGGAGTTTTGTTCTCAATCATCCTGTGGTGTTGGGCCCTCGTTATTGGAGAGACAGCACCCCGCGTCTCCACTCCTCTCCTTCTCCTCCCTCCTCCTATCCCTGCCTCTGCCCTCCGCACCAGTCAACCATTTCGGCACACCCATCACATGTTTCGTGGCTCTATAGGGAGCTCCACCTGTCCTGGAGGTCTCTTCGGCAATCTCGGCGGCATCTTGGGAGCCTCTTATTCGGTCTTGGGGTGAGCTTTTGTGCTTGTTGAGCTGTTATGTAGCGTCGACAAGGCGAAACGACAGAAACACTAAAAGCCATCACACACCTATGACAAGTCAGCGAATTTTGGCTCTTGGGGCCCAACTCGAGGGCGCCTTGGAACTTTCTTGGAGCGCTTTTTGGGCGGAAGCTTTCGTGGAGCGCATTGGGATTGTCGTGGGACACCTGGAAGGCGTGGTGAGCGTCTGGGGAGTTTTTCGAACGATTCGTGGCCTTTGTGGGCTGTCCTGGAGGCCTCTTAGGGCGTTTGTCAGGCCTCTTGGGCAGTGTGGGCGCTCTCCTGTAGACATCTGAAACAATCTTGGGGCGACTTTTAATGCTGCTGGGGCTGATTTGGAGCGTCGGCGAGCCAAAAAGGCAGAAGGCCCCCAAACCGTCAAAAACACATGGGAAGTCATTGATGCTTGCCTCTTGGGGCCCTCTTGGGGGCAGTCTGGGAACTCTCTGGGAGCGTCTGGGGGGCGCTTTGAACTGTCTGGAAGCCGTCGTGGAGCGGCTGGGGAGCGTGGTGGGCCATCTGGAGACAACCACAGGCGTCTGGGAGTGACCTTCCGGCGCCCCAGAAGCGCCCCGAGAGTCCCGAGAGCCCCGAGTCGGTTCTGGGGCACCTCTGGCCCCCCCTTGATCCGCCATGCGCTGTCGCGCTCCAGGCCTCGGCCCCCCCCATGCCTCGTCAACGGGTGTGTGCATGTATGTATGCATGCATGCATGTATGCATGCCTGGCTGCATGCCTGCAAGCATGCCTGCCTGTCTGCATGCATGTATGTATGCATGCATGTATGTATGTACGTATGCAGATATGCATGCATGTATGCATGTATGAATGTTTGCATGGTGTATGCATATATATATATATATATATATATGTAAGTATGTATGCATGTATCTACATACATGTGTACGTATACATGTATGTGTACATGTACATGTGTATGCATACATCTCTGTGCATGCACACCCATGTATACATATCGACAAGCATGCTTGTACGTAGGTAGGCAGGTATGCATGTATTTATGTATGTATGTATGCATGCATGCATGTATATATGTATGTATGTATGTATGTATGTATGCATGCATGTATGTATGTATGTATGTATGTATGTATGTATGTATGTATGTATGTATATATGTGTGTATGTATGTGTGTATGTAGGAATGTGTTAGGTATGTGTATATGTATGTATGTATGTATGTATGTATGTATGTATGTAGGTATGTATGTATGTATGTATGTATGTATGTATGTATGTATATGTGCGTGTATGCATGTATGTATGTATGCATGCATGCATGTATGTATGCATATATGTGTATGCCGATATACTATGTGCGCATACATACACACATACATACATACATGCACACATACACACATACATACATACATACATACATACATACATACATACACACACATACATACATACACACATACATACATACATACAAACACACATACATACACACATACATACATACATACATACACACATACATACACACATACATACATACATACATACATACATACACACACACATACATACATACATACATACATACATACATACATACATATGTACATATACGCATACACCTATATATACATACACATCTAAGAATAAACCGAGAGAGAGGGACCCAGAAAGAGAGAGCGAGAGAGGTGTTGTGGAGAAGCAAGACGATACACAGGTCACCGGCTCCTCTGCCACAAGTGCAAACCAAGAACACCAAAAGTCATCGCTCCCGACCGATGACCAGGCCGACAGCACTGACCATGAGAGCAATCACTCCGTCGGGCACTACGCTTCTGGTCACTAGCGCTACCACTACGGCCAGAGTCTGACCACCTGGTCGACCTGGTCGACAACGTGATCACATGGAGCAACTCACGCGGTGAGCAGCTTGCGCACCGTGCCATCAGCAGATGCACAACCGAAGACACAGGAGCCCCAGACATTCGGTGCTTTGTTTTTCAATGCGGGGTCCCAGGAAGTAGGAAGTCCCGATCATTTCCCCAGGGCAGATTTCTCATCCCGAATCGTTTTTGATGTTTCTGCGGCCTGGCGAGGGCCCTGGAAACCGAAACCGGCCAAAATCCTCCCGTCGTTTTTTGTTTTTGATTTGTGTTTTTGTTTTTCCTCTTGTTTCTTTATTTTTCATTGTTCTTTTCACGACGCGAGCATGTCTGGGGTTCGCGAGGCGGAAGGGGAAGTCAAGCCCGCCGTCGCCTGGAGCGCTGCCTTTCGGAGATCCGCGCTGAGGCCGAGCATCCTCGTGGCGAACACGACACCCACCTCGCCCACCTCGCGCCAGGCCAGCAGCAGCTCCGCCACCCCAGCGGCGTCCTCGTCCAGCTCCGAGGAGAGCAGGAAATCCGGCAGCACCTCCTGCAGCTTGGCTCCTGCCAGCAGGGCTCGGGAACTCCTTCCCTGAGACCCTGGCGTCGCAATCTTTCTACACCGGGCGGTTTGCGCTCGGTTTCAAGCCTTGGGCCATCACGGATCGATCCGGCTCGAGATGCGTAGCAGAACCGTGCTCCATCTGCGATTTTTCCCGATGGTGTGTTCTTCTGGCAACGTCGGACCTCAGGGTCATGCGCGCGCAGCCCCAGGACGTAGCCCCGACTGGTCTCGACAGGCAGGCCTCCCCCCCCCCCGCGCAGCCCAGGGCGGATACAACCCTGAGATACGACGTCGCGAAGAAGTGAAAACAACGTCGCCAGCAGTCGCGACCAGAGCCCCAAAACCTTCTTTTGCTGCGATCCATGTTTGGGCCCCGGGGAGCCACACCTGGCGACACCGCCCGGCGACGTCGCCCAGGGCGGAACACACGCGACGCCAGAATGCGACGCCAGGATCTCGAAGAGCACCGAGCCCCCGGGGGCGCGGAGCGCCGGAGCGCTCCAGGAAAGCGAGGGGGGGGGGGGGCGCCAGAGGACGGCTGCGCGGTGCCAGGACTGGCCGCCCCGGACCGCCCTGGGAGGCCCCCACCAAGGCCTCCGCCGGCCGTCCGGCGGTGTGATCTCCCTGGTCCGCGACACGGCAGCTCCTGAGATCACTTGCCTCGGGGGGCAGCTTCTCGTCCCGGGGTTCGACGGACGGGCCCCAGGGGCCGAGATGGAGGGCCAACGCCTGGATGAGACGGGCGCGCTCCACTACTCGCAGAGTCACTGCTCGCGAGTGGCCCGGATGCCCCGCGGGGGATCTGCGATAGATTGCATGAAGGCAGACGTTTTTTTTTTTTTTTTTTTTTTTTTTTTCTTTTTCTGACGTTTGCGAGTAGGCACTTTGCGAGTAGTGGAACGCGCTCGGCGATGGATGGACAAACATCATCTCGTCGGAGGCCTGCGTCTTCGGGTCCCAGCTCGGGCCTTTGCCGGCCGCCCGGGGCGAGGCCGGCCCCCCCCCAGAACGCCCCTCGTCGAGGCGCCGCTGCTGGGAAAGACCCCGAGGCGACAAAACCCGCAAGACACAACTGCAAGCCATGGATTCGATATTATTGCGATTTTTCAAATTCGTTTTTTTCAAGAAGTTCCGATCTTTTCCCCAGGGCCATGTTCTCGTCGTGAGTCGTTTTGGGGCGGTCCCAGGACGCGGCGAGGGCCCCCAGAGACCGAAACTGGCCCAAACCTCCCCGCCCTATCTCTTTCAGTGCGCTGGATCGCTGAAACCTACGAGCATCTGCAAGGGGACTGCCGACAAAAACTTGGGCCCAGGCAGGCCGCCCGCTCCCGTGCAGTGGAAGATGCCGGCCAGCCGCTCCAGGCCCGAGGAGAGCACCTCTGGGCAGCGCGCCCGAGGGGGTAAGGGGGAGGAGGAGGAGGAGGAGGGGGAGGAGGAGGAGGAGGAGGAGGGGGAGGAGGAGGAGGAGGAGGAGGAGGAGGAGGAGGAGGAGGAGGAGGGGGAGGGGGGAAGGCTTCTCAGGAGGCTGCTCCTCAGAAGGCGCTGGCCCTGCACCCGTGAGGGAGGCCCGCGCCTCTTAAGACGCAGGGGTGCTTCTGGGAAGCCTTCTAAAACAGGGCTGGGATCGGGATAAATCGCTCCAGAGCGTTCCGGAGCGCTCTCAGAAACGTTCCGGAACGCTCTGGAGCGGCCGCGGCGCCCAATACATCCTCCAAACCCGCCGATTCTCAGAGATTTCGAGTTCTCCCGATCCGATTTTGTCCCGATCTTCGCGTCGTTTTACCTTCCCCCCTCCCCCCTTGCCCCCCCTTCTGCGCGCGGGCGAGTCTGGCCTTCGGGGCACAGCTCGGGCCTCTCCGTCGGCCGTGCGGGGCGATCCGGGCACCCCTGCAAACCGCCCTCGGCGAGGCGCAGCATGCCGAGGCCGGGGAGCCGTCGGGAACCAGCGACGCCGCCCGCAGAAAACCTCGGAGCTCGGACGCCGAAGAAGCCTGAGCGCTGCCCGAAGAGCCCCAACTCTCCCGCCCGGCCCCCCCCCTCGTGCGCGTGGCCGAGCCTCCGCGGCCCGCGCCGTGGAGGCCATGGCGCCCCCGAGCGCGTCCACGCGCTCCATGGCCCTCTGCGGGGGCCGTGGGCGGCCTCCCGGGGCGGCGCGCCCGCGGCCGCTCCGCCGATCGCGCGCGATCTCTGGGGGGCGCCGAGCGCGCCGGCTGCGCGGGCTCCCAGGCAGAGCGGCGAGGCCGCGAGGTCGCAGCGACGGCGGCACCAGCGACGGCGACGACGAAGACGATGAGGACGAGGACGAGGACGGGGACGACGACGACGAGGACGAGGACGAGGACGAGGACAAGAACGAGGACGAAGACGAGGACGACGACGACGACAACGATGACAACGACGATGACGACGACGACGAAACGACGACGACAAGACGGTGACGACGAATCGATGACGACGAAACGACGACGACGACGAAACGACGACGGCGACGACGACGACGGCAACGACGACGACGACGACGACGACGACGACGACGACGACACGACGACGACGACGAGGACGACGACGACGACGAGGACGACGACGACGACGACGACGACGACGACGACGGTGACGACGAAGGCGGCTGCCCGCGCTCAAGTCGCGGCAGCCTGGCTGCACGCAGCAGTGGCCCCCGGGGCAGGCGGGGCCTCTGGCCCAGGCGCGCGAGCCCCCGCTGGGGGACACCCGCGGGCCCGCACCGGGGGTGGCTCACCTTACGCGGAGGGGGAGGAGGAGGAGGAGGAGGAGGAGGGGGAGGAGGAGGACGAGGAGGACGAGGAGGAGGAGGAGGAGGAGGAGGAGGAGGAGGAGGTGAGGAGGAGGAGGAGGAGGGAGGAGGAGGAGGAGGAGGGAGAGAGGAGGAGGAGGAGGAGGAGGAGGGGGAGGGGGAGGAGGAGGACGAGGAGGCACACGAGGAGGAGGAGGGGGACACATGTGAAAGGCCACTCTTACGCGTACAGCAGGGGCCCGAGTACAAGACACCCTCCACAGGAGACCCAGCCCTGAGCCCCAGGGCGTCCATCGATTCTTGGCGTGGGAGCGTCCCGCTGTCCATAGCACAGCCATAGAATCCCAGACACCCAGGGCACCACCCAGGGCACCCTGGAGGCAAGCAGGGTGCTTCTTGGCCTGGTCCTCCACTGCAGCCGACCAGCGTGCGCGAGGCCCCGTTCGCCCGGTTCCCGGGCGGGGCCGGCCCCGGCCGCTCCTTGCGCGCGCCTGTCTCGCGGCCCTGCGCCGCGTGCGGTGCCCGCGTCGGCTGCACGCGGGAGCGGCCCAGGCGCCCCGCCGATCGCTGCGTGCGACACGAGGGGAGTAGCGGCGAGCGCGCCGAGGCCGCGCCGTAGCTGTCCGCTCCTTGCGCGCGCCTGTCTCGCTGCCCTGCGCCGCGTGCGGTGCCCCCGTGGGCTGCGCGCAGGACTCCGCTGCGCGGCCTGCCGACCGTGACAGTGAGCACGAGGGCAGGGCCTGCGCGCTCGGGTGAGCCCCCACCGCGACCCCACTGATTGCGACTGCCGCTCTGGATCTCCCCGCCGTGCCCCCCCCCCCGCAGCGCGGCGAACCCACGTAATTCTGCACCGCGCCTGGCGCGCGCACCGTCCTTGTCCAACTCCTCGTCCTCCTGCTTCTCCTTGTCCTCCTCCTCCTCTGCCCTTGCCTACTCCTCTGCCTCTGCCTATTCCTCCTCTTCCTCTTCCTCCTCCTACTCCCACTCGTCGTCCTCGACCTCCTCCCCCTCCTCCCCCTCTTCCTCCTCCTCCCCTCCCCCTCCCCCCCTCCTCCTCTCCCTCCTCCTGCCCATTCTGCTCCTCCCCCTCCTCCTCCTCCTCCTCCTCCTTCTCATTCTCCTCCTCCTCCTCCTCCTCCTCTTCCTCCTCTTCCTACTCCTCCGGCTCCTCATCATTCTCCTCCTCCTCCCCATCCTCCTCCTCCGCCTCCTCCTCTTCCAGTCCTTTCCAACTCTTTCCTGTCGCATCCCGAGGCTGGTCGAAGGGGCGGGCCGGGCAATTCGCCTGAGACTTTCTCTCCATTTAAGATCCTGAAACTTAGACATTGGCAACAGTTTCACATATTGAGGGCGGCTGGTTTTCAAGATGTGGCTCTCGCCTTAGCGCACACTTGTTCCAAACATTGGCAAGACCTTCACGGATTGAGAGCGAGCCGTTTTCAAAATGTGGCTGTCGCCTGAACGCCGTGCGAACTCATTTTCGAAACTAGCAAGAGTTTCACAGAATGAGGGCGGGTGGTTTTCAACATGCGGCTCTCGTCTCAGCGCCGGGCGCATTCGTTTAACACGATCTGCAAGAGTTCATAAATTGATGACAGGTCGTTTTCGAAACGCGGCTCTCGCTCTAGCGCCGCGTACATTCGTTTTCAAATGTGCAAAGGTTTTATGGATTGAAAGCGGCTCCTGTTCAAAATGAGGCTCTCGCCTTAACGCCGAGCGCATTCGATCTCAATATGTGCACAACTCTCACGGAATCCCATGGCCAACATACCAGAAACGGTGTTTTGAAGGACTCAAGATTGTGACGCAACAATTATGTTCATTCGCGGTGTTGAAGTCCCAGGCGTGGTGTTCTTGCACGATTCAGGATAGTCCAGGCGCCATAAGATCCGTGGCGTTGGAGTCCCAGGAATGATGTGTTGGCACGCTTCAGAACTTCAAACGGTTGTCTCCCAACGGAAAAGAACCCCTGTATGGGGCGTGTAAGAGGGAGTTTGGGAGGGTTGGTTTATTCCAACATCGTTGATGCGGCTTGGGTTTGCACTGGTCCTCCTACTCCTCCTCCTCTTCCTCCTTCTCCTCCTGCTGCTCCTCCTCCTCCTCCTCCTCCTCGTCCTCCTCCCCATCATCCTTCTCCCCCTCCCCATCCCGCTCGCGCCAGCCCGCCCTTTTCTTCCGCGACCCCCCCGCGCGGGCAGACTGTGTTCATCGCAGTCTGATGCCGGCCCGCTCGGCAAACCTGGGCGCCAGCGCGGACGCCCTGGCGCAGACGCCCCCAGGCGCCCCGCTCCGCCACCACGGGTGGCCCAGCTCCGCGGCGAGGCCAGACTTGCGCAGCGCACTGGCCGCCAGCGTCAAGTTGCCGTCCAGGGTCTCCAGCTCGTGCAACGCCTCGGAGGCGCTGTCTGGCCCAGCCGCCTCGGGCGAGCTGGCGCCGCGCAGCCGCCGCCGCTCCAAGCAATCGCGCAGCTCCTCCAGCCGTCGCTGCACCGCCGCGCCCAGCGGCAGCCCGCCTGGCCCGCGCCCGCGTCCGCGCCCGCGCCCGCTCTCAGCGTTGCCCCGCCCGAGGCGGCCGGGTTGCTCCCGCTGCCACTGCTGCTGCTGCTGCTGCTGCTGCTGCTGCTGAACGAAGCGCGCGGAGCGCCGCGGCGCCTGCGGTGGGCTGGCCTCGCCGGCAAGGGGGCGCCAGCCCGCCCCCAGGGGTGAGCCTGGCGAGGCCTGCGGGGACGCTGGCGGCTTGGCTTCCCTGGCCGGCGGCAGCCGCTTGAGCCTGGAGCCCAGCGGCGCAGGCCTGGCGACGGCCTCAGGAGGGCCTGCTGGCGGCACCGCCGCTGATGCCGCGGGCGGCGGCGGAGCCTCGGTGGACGGCGTGGCTGCCTCCGCCTCCGAGCGCGGGCAAGGTGCGGCCGGCCCTCTTCCTGGGGAGCTCCTTGGGGAGGAGGCTAGGCCGCGGCGCTGCTGCACAGGCGGCGGTGGGGCTGCTGGCGCGCCTGGAGCGGCTTGCAGAGGACCCCTGGGCGGCGCCGCCTTGGCGGCCTTGGGCCGCTTCTTGGCTGGCTGCGCGGCGGACGCCGCAACACGCGAACCAGGCGCGCCAGACCATCCAGCGGAAGGGGAAGGCAACCTTTGGCTTTGCCGCACTGGCGCTGGGCTCAGGGGCCGCTTCGGTGTTGGCGGCGCGGCGGGCGCCGTAGCACGTGTGCCAGAAGTGCCAGACCATCCAGCGGAAGGGGAGGTCAGCCTTCGGCTCCGTCGAGTCGGCACAGGGCTCGCTGGCACCCGGGGATTGCCTACAGCCGAGCGGGTGAAGGCGGCTGGCTCCGCTGGCGCGGGCGGTGGCCTCCCTTTGGCGGAGGCTGGGACGGTCACCGAAGCCTCCGCTGCTGCCGTTGGCGAGCCAGACGCGGGCAGCTCCACCCCTGCTGGAGCGTGGGCTGAGGCTGGGGAGGGTGACGAATCCTGCCCTGCCGTCGCTGACGGGCCAGACGGGGGCGGCTCCACCTCTGCTGGACCGAGCGGTGGCCGCCCCATGGCGAACGTTTGGGCACGCGCCGAACCTTCCGCTGCCGCCGCTGGCGGGCGAAACGTGGGCAGCTCAACATCTGCTGGAACTGTGGGCGACCGTCCTTTCGTGGGTGCGCAAGGCGCTGATGCCGTTGCCGCCGCCTGTGAGCTGGATGCGCCTGGAAACGTGGATCTCCCCTTCTCGGATGGAGCGGGTGCTGCTGCCAGAACCGTCCGCGGGTCAGATGCGGCCAGCTTCACCTCTTCCAAATCCCTTGGTCCCTGCCCTTCCGCCGATGGCGTGGTGGGAGCTGCCGTCGCCACCTGTTGGCTGGTGGCGGCTGGATCCCTCCCTGGGGTGCTTGCGGCCGAAGGGGACGAAACCAACCTACGGCACCGCGGCTGCAGCAATGCTCCGCCAAGAGCGGCTGGCTCTGCTGGAGTTGCTCGTGGCAGCACCTTGGCGGAGGGCGGGTCGGGTGCCGCTGCCATTGCCCGCAGATTGGTGGCGACCAGCGGCTTCACCTCCGTAGAAGCCGTGGGCTGCCATCCTTCGGCGCAGGGCGCTGCGGGTTCTGCAGCTTCCTGTGGCCCACGCGGCAGCGGCTTCGTCGGGCTGCTGGCAGAAGGCGACGAGGCCAGCCTGCGGCAACGTGGCTGCGCTGGCGGCGGCGGCGGCGCTGACGGTGCCTCGGGGTCGGCCCAAGCTGGGTCGGCTGCTGGCGCGGCTGGTGCCGCGACTGCGGAAAGCCGCCGCCTCTTCGCTGGCGGCTCGGCGGGCGCCGCACAGGAACTTGAAGCAGACGTGGCCTGCGCTCTCCTGATGGGGTGATGCTAAGAGTGCCACCCGCAAGAAGTTTCACTGAAACGCTCGTGAAAACAACTGCCAATACTTGCTCCGTGCTTCGTCAACTCGGTGGCTTGCAGTTCTGTCAGCCTGGATTTCCCAATCGGCCATTATACCTACAAAGATAATTGACCCGACGGTTGTGCAGTATACGCTTGCACAACATCATGATTCTTCTGTTCGCTTGGTGCTGCTGTTTTGCTCGTGCGGATAGGCTCAATGCTCCTCCTTGTGCGCCAACATCCGCTTATTGGTAATAACATCTCACGGAAAAACTAATCGAACCTAGGGGAGCAGACACGGGTGCATTCTAGCAGGAGCGAGCTGAGAAATGGGATCATGCTGGAATCAAGGCTTTGACGAAGAACAGTCCACCCTACCAAGGCTGTGTCAGCCTTTGGCCAACATCTTCACGAATGGCCGAGCCAACCTTTTGCGTACATACTCGTTCATGTCCAGAAGGCTCAGACAATGGGCCTCGTTTAGACTGCTGAAGAACAACTTAACAACTTGGACGAAACGACGACAAGAGGTTTCTGAATGACCAGGGCGGCTGTAATTTTCCAAAGCAGCGCCTGGTGCAAAGTCAAACAAATCACGGTTTCAACTCTTCCCCCTCCATGGCCCGAAACTCGAGACCCAAATTCTCGATACTCCACAAATTGTTACAACACTGAAACAAATGAATACCAGCACCCACAACACCCGCAACATCCGGTACGATGCAACATGCACGGTAGTAGTGGCATCAGTAGCGATTGCCAGTGGAACAACACTCTTATTATCATTAGTCGTAGTAGTAGTAGTCGTCATCGTTGTAGTATCCGCCACTGTGCCCCCTGACGAGTTGGGACGTGCTAGAATGCGAAATGCTGTCTGGCAAGTTTTCTGTAATATTGTAGGGATCCCCTTCCCCTCTACTAGCGCTGGGCTTGCGCGACTCGCCCCACCTTTCCTTTGTGAAGAAATGTTGGCGAGCGTGGACCCCAAACAGAGTATTTCTAGCCGTATATGCTGTGCCATTTAGGTGGAGCAATCTTTGTGGTGTAATTGATTTTTACATATGATTTGACACATCCCACGCTCTTGCAAACATCCCACCCACCCACCCGCAACTTGGTTTGCAAAACCTCTTAAGACCGACTACGGCGACACCGACGACAGCGACTACGACGACACCGACGACGTCTCCGACGACGTCGACGACGATGACGACAACGACGCCGACGCCGACGACGACGACGACGACGTCGCCAACGAAGACGACGACGAGGGAGGAGGAAGGACGGACGGCGACAACGACGACAACGACGACAACGACGAGGGAGGAGGGAGGACGGCGACGACGCGAACGACGAAGAAGGAGGAAGGACGGCGACGCCGACGACGACAACGACGAGGGAGGAGGAAGACGACGACGACACGACGACGACGACGACGACGGCGACGAAATAGGAGGGACGACGACGAGACGCCGACGACGGACGACGACGACGACGAGGGAGGAGGAGGAAGGACGACCACGGCGACAACGACGACGGAAACGACCACGACGCCAAAGAGGACGACGACGACGAACACGAGGAAAGACAGATGACGACGTAGGCGACGACGACGACGACGCGGGAGGAGGGAGGACGGCGACGACGACGTCGACGACGACGCAAGAGCGCGCGCGCACGCTTTTGTTGAAAATCCGTGTTGCGAAACCTTGTGTTTGTTTTGCATTTTTTTTGGACACGCGATTTTGAAATCCATCCGAAACCGATGGGTTTTGAAGGTTTTCGGCATACGCGCGCGACGACGCGCGCGTCTGTCCAGAGAATTCTCGCGACGGCACACGCGCAAGGGCGTTCGACAGATTTCGACATGCGCGCGCGCGAAGCCCGTTTGGTAGCGTTTTGTGAAAATCTTGAAGAACCTATGGCTTTTTTAAGATTTCGCAAGAGCTCGCGCGGAAGCTTTTTTAGCAAATCAGTGTTGCGAAACCCTGTGTTTTTATATGTTTTTTGGCAACTCGATTGCGAAGCCCTTCCGGTACCGAAAGTTTTTGAAGGATTTCCGCATGCGCGCGCAACGACGCGCGCGTGTGCACTTCGTCCCATTTTTTGCAAGGGATTCGGGAACAAGTCTTATGTTAGAACAACAGCTGTCCCCGCGTATCGTGTTTTACAAAAGAACCTCAGGGGGGCCGATCCTGGCCCCTCCGGGATAGTGTACACTCATATATGGGATGGAGATGTGGTCAGAATCGTGAACGATTTACATACCCGAAAGGGGGGGGATGCCGCCGGGGGGGGTAGAGTCTATTGTTTTTTTAGAAAGGAGAATCTACGTGGTGAAACCTATACTGTGCATTCTATGTGGTGCACTAGATATGGTGCAGTATACGTTGTGAAATCCATGTTTTGCGAAATGGGTTGTGCAATATTGGTGGAGCAAGCTATGTGGTTCACCTTATGTGATATACTGTATGTGGTGCAAATATGTTGTGCAACATATGTTGTGCCATGCAGGTGGTGAGTACTACGTGGTGCAACCGATGTGATGCGGCATCCATGTGGTGCAGCCGGCGTGGTGCAATCTATGCGGTGTACCCTACGTGGTACACAGTTTCTGGTACAATCTATGCGGTGCAATCCACTCTGCTGAACTTGAAGTCGTCATCTCCACTGCTCGCGCAAACATCCCCCCCACCCACCCGCAACTTGATTTGCAAAACCTCTTAAGACCGACTACGACGACACCGACGACAACGACTACGCCGACACCGACGACGTCTCCGACGACTTCGACGACGACAACGACGCCGACGACGACAACGACGAAGACGACGACGCCAACGAATGCGACGACGAGGGAGGAGGAAGGACGACGACGGCGACAACGACGACAACGACGATAACGACGAGGGAGGAGGGAGGACGGCGACGACGCGAACGACAAAGAAGGAGGAAGGACGGCGACGCCGACGACGACAACGACGAGGGAGGAGGGAAGACGACGACGACAACGACGACGACGACGGCGACGAAATAGGAGGGACGACGACGAGACGCCGACGACGGACGACGACGAGGGAGGAGGAGGAAGGACGACCACGGCGACAACGACGACGGAAGCGACCACGACGCCAAAGAGGACGATGACGACGAACACGAGGAAAGACAGAGGACGACGTAGGCGACGACGACGACGACGACGACGACGCGGGAGGAGGAAGGACGGCGACGACGACGACGACGACGCAAGAGCGCGCGCGCACGCTTTTGTTGAAAATCCGTGTTGAGAAACCTTGGGTTTTTGTAGGTTTTTTGGACACACGATTTTGAAATTCTTCCGAAACCGATGGGTTTTGAAGGATTTCGGCATACGCGCGCGACGACGCGCGCGTCTGCGCTTCGTCGCATTTTTTGCAGAGGATTCTCGCGACGGCACACGCGCAAGGGCGTTCGACAGATTTCGACATGCGCGCGCGAAGCCCGTTTGGTAGCATTTTGTGAAAATCTTGAAGAACGTTTTTTTTGTGTGTTGTTGTCTTATATATATATATATATATATACATATATATATATATAAAGATTTCGCAAGAGCTCGCGCGGAAGTTTTTTTAGCAAATCAGTGTTGCGAAATCGTGTGTTTTTGCATGTTTTTTTGAGACTAGATTGCGAAATCCTTCCGGCACCGAAGGTTTTTGAAGGATTTCGGCATGCGCGCGCGACGACGCGCGCGTGTGCACTTCGTCAATTTTTTTGCAAGGGATTCGTGAAACAGTGTTATGTTAAAACAAAAAATGTCACCGCATAATGTTTTTTTGCAAGGGACCCTCAAGGGGGGGAATCCGGCCCCCCGGAGATAGTGTAAATTCATATTTAGGGTGGACATGTGGTCATAATCGTATCTGATTTACATACCCGAAATGGGGACCAATCCACCAGGACGGGTTTGTCGCGACGTGGTGAAGTCTGGGCTGGCCCGCCCGGTTTCGCGCCCTGGAGGCTGAAACAGCGCCGAAACCATCAGGAAAGGTTTTTCGCGACGTGATGAAGTCTGGGTTGGCCTGTCCGCTCTCGCTGAGAATCCATCCTCAGGCCCCTCCTGGAGACTATCGCAGCTTCCCAGGAGGGTCCGTCCTCTCCATCCTCTCACGCCCGAACCCCTCCTGGGGAAATTCGCGGGGAGGCTCTCCCAGGAAACCTGTCCAGGAGGGTCGGCATTCACTCTCGTAGGGAGTTTCGCTTTGTGATGCACTGTACTGCCTCCCGCAGGGGGTATTGCACTGCCGAGCCGCCCAGCCGCGGCCACGAGGCCAGACAAGGCTCCACACTGGAAAGTTCCCCTGCCCCCTCCTCCAGGGTGCCTCCGACCCAGGCCCACGGCGCCCAATTTTTGCTTGAATCCGCGGGGCATCCCCTCCTTCTCGGTGCCTTCAGCGCATACCTCCGACGCACTAAGTCGTTTCAATATGTGGAGCGCCCCGTCTTCCTCCAGGGTGCCTCCAAACCAGGCTACATATATATATATATATATGTATATATGTATATATATGTTATAAACAGTAACACGCCTAAGTATACATCTGTAGATGCTTGCCTCTGTTGGTGTTTTGGATTTCGTGTACTGTTTACAGCCCTGCTTGGTGCCT